AAGAATAAACAATGATAATAAAGTTATGATAATTGCAGCAATTCATTGAAAAACAAATTTTTTAACCATTTTATTTCAATTTCTAGAGTTAGTTAATAATAATAATTATTATTATTTTTGTTTTTAATTATGAAGTAAAATTTTATTAATAAATTACTTTCCATTTTAATTGAAGTGCACGTTTGAGATATGGATTTAAAATTCTAAAATGGTAAAATAAAAATCTGACAATAAGACAAATTTGATTTTGAACACAGAAACGTCGTTTTTTATGTACAGTCACATATAGTTTCAATTACAATGTCCATTAACGTATTCCTGAATATTCACTGTCCAACCCAATTTCATCATCCATAAATTCACTAATTCAAATTAGATCGGATACAAGAGAGAGAAAATCACTAACAAAAATGAAATGACAGAACAAACAAAACAGTCCTGAAACATAGCTCAATGTTATTTTAATATAATTGATGATGTAAAATTAATGCGATGGGCTTATAAATGCTGGTATAAAGGTCTGAAGCTAGTAGAATTAAAGAACTTTTATCGGAAAAACACGCCTTTATTTTTTTACATGTGGATTTTTTCTCCAGGATAAGAAGTTTGCATCATTTTGATCCCTCTTAGCATCGATTTTTCATAAATTTTTTACGCAGCAAGTCGGAGGGGGTGTTTTATTTCAGTTTCCAAATTACCACGCGTGACCGCAAATGGGGCATGAGTTTTTTTAATCAACGCACCCTCTTCTTTTTTCCAGTCCCCAAAGGAGCAAAAGGGCTAAGCCGATGAAGATAATTTCCACAGAAACCACACATCTCTCAAAAGGTCGTGCAGATTTTGTCGATCTATAATTCCACGAAGATCGCTTTTGCTCAAATCTGTTGAGGAAATTCGCGGAAGAGCCGCCGACAATTGGCTGCAGCTCAAGCTGCGCCTGCTCGCTCGGCTGGCAAATAACTAACTCGCTCGCCGCGATTATTATTATATTCCCGCAGCACAATAATGCACTCGACCGTGCCGCGGCGACGAAGGGTTGTTGGAATACAAAACGCCTTTCTCCAGAGCTGCCCACGGCCTCCTTTTGTGACGGGGGTGCCGCCGCAGGGAAAAGGCGAAGATCTCGACCGCTTTATTAGCGCCTGCGTTTGACACGAATTTGATTTTTTGCCGCACGGGTACAATTTTCAAAGGCGCTTTGTCGAGTCCCAGTGGTCAGCGCTGCGCCTTTAATGTTGAAAAGTGAACGAGGGGATTAATTCTTAGCGTGTTCCTTAAAGTTGCGCAGATTGAATTGCAAAAATTTACGCTACTTTTCACTCTGATAATTCCAAATAATTTTATTTTTGTAGAAGAAGTTCTCAATCGAGGGTTGATTCATGGTTTGAATAAATTTAAATTTGGCTTCTCCTCGATGTGTTTTTCGAGTTTTTTATTGTTTAAGAAAAGTAAGCAGGATATAGTTTTTCCTTAAACAATAATAAAATCACAAAAACCCTCTGAGGAAAAGCTGAATTTAAATTCAAATTCCCATGAATTTTATTTTTACTTGTTTGTATAATTATTTAATTTGTACTCATTTACCTGTTTTAAGCATTTGTTAGAATTATATAAAATAGACTAAATATTAATTTTTTTAGAGCTAAATTACATGCTAAAAGTACAATTTTTAATTTGTTTTTGTAAGATAATTTGGAGATTTAAATACTCTTGAAGATTTGGGTTCATTAAAAAAAGTGGCAAGGCATCAAGAAAATAATTTGCAATTAAATTTATTAATCCGCTGGCTACACTTCTTAGCTTCAGGTTTTTGGATTTTGGTTTATTTTTAATTGAAAAGTTTAAAGAAAATCTTTTTTGATTGCAGAATGGTTTGAGAGTCATTAATTAGAATAAAATAATAAATAAATAAAATTGAATCAATACATTTAACGTTTAAATAATTTTAATTTAATTCTTTCTTTTCTTAATTTTATTCTACTGCAAGCTATTTTCAAATATCCAAGAATTTAAAGATTCATATTAACCATTTTGAAAAATTTGAAATTTATTTATAAAGCTATACTGATTGCCTATATGAGTTCCTTATTAATCGGATCTGGTTTCCAAAGTATTCCAAATCCCCACACAAGAGAATGGCAGAATTAACAGATGAAGCAACATCTCAGTTGCTGTCCACCTCTTGAAATGCGATTATGTGTAGTAAGTACACCGTATTTCTCTCTCCACACTTGTATGAAACCTTTTCGGCTCTAATTCGATCAACCTGGTCGCACCACTCAGATTCAATATCAACGTGTGTACCTATCTCCTTACATACAGAGAGGGTGCGATCATCCCTTGCACAGCACCCTGGCGTGAAAGAGTGGTGTCGTCGCCGTCATCAAAGCGTGTGACGTCATCCTAATGTGCCTAATGGCCTAGTCGTCAGTAGTGCGAGTCCGACAAGAGGACTCGGACAGAGCTCAAACAATGCACACACTGATGAGTACATAAAAAAGGGTGTACATAAAGAAGAATTAAATGCAGCGACTACCCTGCTCGACCACAGAACGAGGAAGGGGACCACCGAGGGGAAACCACAATTGCAAGTGGACATTGGGCTGAACGCAGAGAGAGAGAAACTCGTCCAACCACATTTTGTTTGAGTTTCAATGTCGCTGAATTTAATAGGTCTGTGGGGAAAACCTAATTTAAAACTTTGAAAGTAAATAAATTAAATCATTTTCAATTTTAATTAAAATAAAAGAATTTTTCAAATAAGCAGTTAATTTATTTTTAGCAGGGTTTCTGAGCACAAAAATTTTCAGGTGCTCAAATTAATTTGCTCCTGCTCCTGCTCACTTCTAAAGTGCTCCCTAATTTCTGCTCCTGCTCCTGCTCACCTCAGGAGTGCTCCCCTACATCTGCTCGCGAGCATGCTCCCTTTTGGGGTGCTCGCGAGCAGATGCTCGCGAGCATGCTCACTGAAGGAGTGCTCAATGCTGCTCCGAGCAAAATTTTGCTCCCGATTTGCTCCCAAGCAGCGTCATGCTCATATTTGATATTATAAAAAGTCGGCATCATCGGCATGCAAATTATTGATTTATTCTGAAAAAATATTTATTATGACAAAATAATTTAGCGAGGACATCAATTTAAGACCATATAAAAAATTAAATTTTCATTAATATAATTAAATTATCTCTGAATTAATCTAATTTTTGGTTAAAAAGATGAATTGTTGCCAGGAGCATATAAATAACAAGCAGGAATTTGAGCTCTTTATAAATAATGTGAGGAAAATACACAAGAGGGCTGAAGGTTTGCCAGGAGCACATAAGGTGCAGCAGATCAAACTCAGGGCTTAAAGGGGTGTAGGCGGAGCGTCTGAGCATAGGGATACACACCCAAATGCATTGAGATTCTAAAGCGTCATCCACTGGTTTTTGTTGATCTCACAGTATAGAGTATAGATTTAGTATGAAATTCTGTTATCATAGTAAAACTTTTAAAGCAAATGAGAGCAGAAGGAGCATCTCGAGCATTTTTAGTAAATTTTGCTCCTGCTCCTGCTCACTTCTAAAAAGTGCTCCCTAATTTCTGCTCCTGCTCCTGCTCACCTCAGGAGTGCTCCCCTACATCTGCTCGCGAGCATGCTCCCTTTTGGGGTGCTCGCAACCATCTGCTCGCGAGCATGCTCACTAAAGGAGTGCTCAATGGTGCTCGCGAGCAAAATTTTGCTCAATCTTGCTCGCGAGCAGCTCATGCTCAGAAACCCTGATTTTTAGACAATTTTGGATTCCCCCGTGAGGACTCTCTCTTCAGTGTTATATTTAGCACCTTGTCTGCGGCGAGGTGACCAAAGCACCAAAAACGAGGTGAAGATTTCCTACCTGCTCTCTCTGCTATACTCTTTCATCCCTCTTTATCTTTTTTGACAACCTTGGGTGCGAAGTGTAAGCTTTTTATACGCGTCCGGCCGAGTACTGCATAGTATGTATGTATAGAGCAGGAGAATAAGGGTGTGTGTTGTCTTATGTATTTACCACGCCGGATTAGAGTGGAGTGTGTGTGATGCGCCAATCTAGCCCCAGAACAAACAGATCATGCGTGGGAGCATCCGAGGCACAAGAGAGGGCTTATGACTTGTAATCAAGCTAATTTGCCATTTTTCCTTATCAAGATGTTGCGTGTAATTTCAAAGGAAGATTAAATTTGAAAACAGAAAATTAATGAAAATTTTATCAATAATCAAGTATGTCCATTGCAATATTTTTTTACTTTCCACAATAAAAGTCAATTGATAAGTAAGATGTTATAATAAAAATAAAACTCTTGCAAGCCAGATTGATATAGTTTTAAGTAAATTTGTTCATGATCAAATGGTCAGTGGGTATATTATTTATTTAAAACTTTTTAAAATGAAAAAAAAAACTAAAGAATTACTCTCTGGTGAAAAATAATTCAAGTAAATAATCAATCAACACATTGTAAAAGTCATAATATGAAAAAAAAATTATAATTGTAAATTAATGAAAAAAATTTAAATATATAAGAAATAAAACCAATTTTTCGTCCTGAAGTGTTAGTTGTAAAAGTTTTTTTAAGTACTTTTGTTGGATGTATTTAAAATGACCCAAAATGATACAATTTGCAAAGATCTCTTCTTTGAATCAATCAATTTTCTGGTATTCATGAAATTATAATTTTTTCTAAGTAAAAAAAGTTCTGTTTTAGTGTGTTTAAAGAAGATCAACGTGTTAAAACAATTCTTCATTCCAAAATTTTTAGTGATTTCACAAAAAAAATAATTTGAATTGGGCATTGCAAAAAATAGTAAGTCTTTTCCGACGATAAAACAATTAAGGCGAAAACAGAAAAAGTGAATTCCAGCGAACCATCAGGGGTTGATGAGTGGCGATTAATTTGCGTGGCGGCGTGCTGTGTGTGTGCCTTGTGCGAATGCATTGGCGGCGCCGTATGCAAGCCCGCCATACGCGCATGTTGCGAGCGGGGGAGAGTTGCTGCCTATAAAACAGGCGCCCGAGGATGCTGGCAGACATCATCTGTTGCCGCCGGTCTTCGGGAGAGCCAGGCCGACCGACCCCTTTCTTTCACTCTCTTCCTTCTGGAAATCCAAAAGGTAGGTGCACAATTTCCGATTCGGGTTTTCTTTGCTCAAATACTAATTGATTTTTTATTGAAAAAAAATTATTTTGACACGCTGGAAGAAATTAATCTGCCAATTTAAGTTAGAAGTAATTAAAACAAGAGCCTAGGTTATTATTTAGATTTTCTTACTTTCTTGTTAATCTGATGATTATGTAGTTTCAGAGCTGCAATAATTACAGTTTTGCCACTCTAGAATGGTTTAATTTTGATTGAAAAAAACTAAATGAAGATTTTTTTATAATTTTTTTAATTCTAGAAATTTCCATTGGACTTTTCCAAATACAAAACTTATTATTTAAAAAAATCTTATTTCGTACTGTAAATACAATTTTATTCCTGTGAACATTGAATTAAGAATAGTATGACAACAAACTCTTTTTATTTTCCTCTCTTCCAAAAGAGCTTTATTGAATTAAAAATTCCATTAATTTTTTTCTATGATGATAGTCAAGAAAGAATATGAATTTATTCCTTTTTCCTCAACATTCTTTTTGAAGGAGTTTTAGAGCAAATATTAAACTTAGCAATATTAAAAGAATTAAATTCCAAGCGTGCTCTAAAAAACAAAAAAACTCCCTCTTGCATCACTTTAAATGGAAATTTTGCATTTTCATTCTTCCACCACTCCGAAAAAAGTGAACGCGCGACCGCAATGCCGTGAGGGTCGAAAAAGGGTGGCCATGAATTTATTTCTATTTTGACTCTAGCAAGTTAGGGGTGAATTCAATTTTGCGCATCAGCTTAATTCACGTGGCAGAATCGCACGTTGAAACTGCGAGTACGGACACACGATTAGAACAAAAGGCCTTTCATACGTTAGTGCGTGCCCGCTTTTTTTCCCTTCTGACAACGATAGCCCATTCGAATGGAAATAATGTCCCTTATCAATCAGCTCTTCAAACCCACCGAGCCACAATTTCGCCTGTAACCTTAACCGCAGAACACAGAGGAAGAGGTTAATTAACGAAAGGCGCGTTTTTAAATTAATGCTGGTTCTTGTTAAATCCGTGTTCAAATAATTGCAGAGGTGGAATTCATTAGGCGAATTTTTCAAAGGTTATAAAACATTTTCCATTTCGCACATAAAATAAATTACTTTATTACAAGTGTATGGTTTTTGATGAGGCGAAAAGGTCAAGAAGATCTCGTCGCCTGTCAATTATTTTTACATAGCAATTAACTTAATTTAAAAGAGAGTGCAATTAAACGACGGCCGGAATTTATTCATGTACAAATCTCAACAGAACTAAGAATAAGAAATAATGTAAGCGTCTGACTTCTCCAATTAGTCGAACGAGCGCCCCCATTAAATTTTGCAATATATGCCTCTCTCGTTATTATGGAAAGGGCCAAAATGGTGCACCAGCTGCTACCCTTTGGCCTTTATCCCTCGCATGCTCGCCCCACAACAATGAATATATCCATGCACAAATATTTAGCTAGAATTTTGATGAGATGACTAAAATGACGATCACAAACATTTTCAAAGTAAATATGTCCGCAATTTAAAATTGTAGAATTTGTTCTTTTAATGAATTTACAGTCACATAGTTAATAGTTTTAAAATCAAGAACTATCCCATGATTTTATTATTTTTTTTTTAAGTATTCTGACTTTGGAAAAAAAGCGTGTAGATTTATGGCTGAAGAAATAATTTTCTTTTTTAAAATGTTTAAAATGAAAAAAAACCTTATTTTAAAAGTTTCCTTCATTTAACAATCCGTTAAAGGACATCAGATCTCTCTTTCCTGTGTAATAAAATCCAGCTACATTTTCATGTCTACCGTGTTCAGTTTTTGGCCAATAAATAACACAACCTGTCTTAATTAAGCTCAAATGAAATGCCTGCGTGGGGGGTGTGGATGAGCTCATTAGAATTTTAGCCAGTGGTGGTTTCATTTTTCTTCTGCACGCACAATGCCCAAACCGAGAGAGAGCATAATCGTAAATTATGAACATGAATCCCACATGCTTTAATTAGGGCGTTCGCCATAATATGTAATTATGCAGTAATTTCTATTATTTCTCATATTTTGTAGACTTTTGGTAAAAAAGCATAAGAACTCTGTTAGTTATATCTAGGTTATTTTTGCTAAGAATGGAAAAATTACAAATTTCTGTCGGTACAATTTTATAAGATGCCTGAAAATTCTCCTCTTTCAAGTAATCACAATGCGGGAAAGCTCAAATCAACATTTATCTGTGTGGCAACCATAATAATTTTATTTTATTTTAATTCTTCGATTATTCTAATCTAACAAAAAAAGTGAAATTATGAATAAAATCTTTCTACCAGAGAAATAATCTGTCGCTTAAAATTTTTAAAATCAGATTTAAATAATTTATTTATAATTTTAGTACTTATATTTTCTTCCTTACATATAATTTGCCTATTTTGATTTAAATCATTAAAGAGCGATTTCTCCTCCGACTCCATTAGGGACTTGACAATTCGAGTTATCTCATAAATTGCAGGCCCGAATAGATTCCGCAAACTCCCAAATCGAACAAATTGGCTTCCGCAACGCATTTAAGGGTTTCCAGTCTATCGCAGTATCTCGGCGCCTATTTCTCGCAGGAAAATGTTTTCGCAGGAGAGACGCGAGGAATAACAAATGGTGCACATTGACAGGAACGCCGGGCCCTCGCCGCTCTCCCAACAATAATAACTAACCCCAGCCAGCGCATTTGGGCAGCGCATGCAGCCTCTCCACGGACTCCTTGCTTTCCTTCCAGAGTCATTTGTTTAGGACCGCCATTGGCTATCGACTTAAAGGCGGAAAAGGGAATTGAGGACGCAAATTGCTATTTGGCCAAACAAATTTTCTGCGCCCGTGGCTCGCAAAAGGCATAAAGTTGTGCATTGCGATTGATAGACTGCAAACCTTCACCGTTGCCATTTTTATTATGCAGGGACAAAGAGAGAAAACAAGTCTTTTTTATTGAAGTTATGCATTTTTTTCAATTAAATAAATATTGATTATATTGGCCAGTAATTTTAAATAGATAAATCATCACCAATTTTTAATAATCAATAAAATAATACATATTTGTAAATCATTTCAATTTTTTCTTTTTTTAAATAAAAATCGAGCATTATTAATGCACTCAAAACTTGGCCAAAATATTTGAATTTATCCAATAAATTAAACTTACAAAAAAAATATTTGAAATATTTAAAAAATGCAGACCTTCAAATCTTCCCAACATTGAGCATAGTTTAGAAACTAATATTTTCCGACATTAATATACATCTTCCTCCTTTTTAACTGCATAATTCATGTAAACCAATAGTTCTTAATCAAATCAAAACTAAATCGTCGACAGAAAATATCTTCGAATTAGTAAACCAGTTTTGAAATAATTGAAGAAACTATTCAAAATCCTAATACTATCGTGACGTATTTTCCTAAAATAAAATTAAATCTCCTGCTTAAAAAAATCCAATTGAATCAACAATTTCCCATTTTCCGCTACTGGCAACTGCAAAAGTCACTTTAAAGATTAAAAGAGATTTATTTTTGCTTTCAACACAGAGTTAAAAGGCACTCTCGATTTACGAGAAAAACCAACTTCTGCATTGGAACTCTGTGGATTTAAAAAGCATTCACGTAAGTCAACCTGTTGCAGCTGTTTCTCGTGCGCGAACTCATTCGGTGCAAGTTGTTGCGACACCTCATCCGAAAGGCTGCTGCTTTTTATCCGAATCACGAGGGCCGTGGCACTTTGATTGAGGGGTGGCATCGGCCTGTTGCGCAATTGTTTGCTCAGCATAATGCGCTTTATCTTTATATCTGAGGCGTTATTCGCGGGTGTGGGTGCAGGTGCCGAAACTCGGAGGAGAGTTATGATACCACCAGCATGACGCACCCACTCACTCGCGCCGCTCATATTTTAGAAAAGCGCCGGCTCGGGCAAAACAAACAGAGAGATAAATTTGACGAGTCAATAAATTCGGCCGCAGGAAATGGAAGTGTCATTGCCGCCGACGTTGGGCTGCTGCTGCTGCTGGTTTGGCTTGTTATCGGCGCACAGCTTCAGCGACACAATTAGATTTATCACTGTCCGAGCACCGTCCAGCTGTGACAGATGCGCTGCAGATCTAGATCAAAACATCGTTTAATCAAAATAGAAAGTATAACATATTTGGAAATGAAGAGATCGGGCTTTTCCTCGTTGCAGAAAAATTGTTTTTATTCAAAAACAAATGGCTCTACCAGTTTCGGTCACGGTCTGCGACCCTATTTCATGAGCAAGAAATATTCTTGTATTAGTCAGCGAGCAGCGCGTTTGCTCATGAAATAGGGTCGCAGACCGTGACCGAAACTGGTAGAGCCATTTGTTTTTGAATAAAAACAATTTTTCTGCAACGAGGAAAAGCCCGATCTCTTCATTTCCATGATCATCTCCTCGAGTGTCAACTTCTTATAACATATTTGTTTGAATTAACTAAGAAGAATGAAAAATTTCCTGAAAATTGAATGTTTTATGTACTTCTGTTAAAATATTTGCAGAAATACATAGGATCATTTTTAGCAATTAGAAAAGAAGAAGCAATAGAAGCATAATAAAGAAAAAAATACTTTTAAAATTACTATTTTTTCTTCTAACAATTTCCATGTCTTTAAAAAAGAAATGTTTTCAAAGCAATGTGATTGTACCCAATTTAACCCATGTGAACCAAAACATAAAAAAATTTAATTTGCTTTATGTTGCTTTACTATTATCCATAAGGGCAATTTAAAATCTTTATAATTGTTAATTGACGAGTGAAATATTTCAAACCCAATCACTTTCCACACAACTTAAAAACTAAATTCAAATTAAATAATTTTCTGCAAGTGTTTTAATTCTCCATGCGGTGATATTATTGCTCCTGCGGTTTATATCACATTTTTATTTCATAGTAATATTATTAAGCTTGAGAAAATTATTTGCTTATAAACTTGTGCATGACGTGGTTTCCATACA